ATATATGTGTATATAAACTGAAACTGCTGGACTAGTGCATCCTAAATTTAACATAAATTAATTATTTTAATACGAGTCATTTCTGCATTTTCTGGGGAGGTCACCTAATAAATGTCATTATGTAAAATCTAAAAGCTCATTTTAAATCAATACTTTTACTTTTAATACTTAAGTACAAAATATATCAGATATTTAAGACTTTTACTCAAGTAACATTCCTAAAGGAGACTTTAACTTTTACCAAAGTAATTTTTGGTAAGATACTTGTACTTCTACTCAAGTATCCCTTTGTGGTACTTCATACAACACTGGCCGTCAGACAGGTGTGGTGCAAAGCTCAGCTTTATTAGCAGATTTAGCAGAAACATCAGGTGTTGTGTGCACCATGTACGGCAAGCCCTTTGCGTATTTATTCCGTACTGGGTGTGAGGGCATCTCGCTAGAGTAAAATGTCACGAGATCGTTCATTAAGTGGAAAACTCTTAACTAAAAATATATATTTTTAAATATCTTATTTAATTTAATAAAAATATGACTAAAGATGTTTCTCCTGCAGCTGAGAGGAAGAGCTTTAATAAAATTAAAACAGACCTGAGTTCAAGCAGTAAAAGTCTTTTTTCTCTGTGATGGAAAACATTTATAACCACACCAGTTTCACTCTCATGTCCTGAGAGTTTCCACAACTCAGACTCTTAAACTGCAGTTTTACAGCTTCAGAACTGAGAAGATAAGATATACTTTATTGTCCTCTGAGGGAAATTTGTTGCAGGCGAAGATTTTTAGCAAAGATCGCATTTGTGCTCTCACTGCTCCGGGATCAAAGATCATTTTTTTAGTTTTACTGGAGATTATTATCACGCCACGTTTTAAAGGTTGTGATACACAGAAGGGCCGTCCTCAGCGTGGAACAGAATTAAAATAAAAGTATCGTCTAAGAATTTCACAGCAGAGTTATTGGACTGCAGGCTTCTACATTTGTTATGCAGTGTTGATGCAGGAGGGTGATGCAGTGTTTATAGGAGGATGTGTTGAAACGCTGTTCCTGTGCAGGAAATACCAGGTAGAGCTCAGYTATTGTTTGTTAGCGGTGCTCAGCAGTAGCGATGAAACGAGGAATGTTTTGTTGAAATTAAACATGAAACGTGGAAGTTAATTACAACCATAATGCTCATGTGGCGCTCTAAGGTCGGAAAAGTTTTTTTTTTTTGAATATTAAATTATTGTGTCATCCTTGTGGAATAAAAGTCTCGTTAATCCCTCTGTGCTATATTTTTATCTTATTTTTTGAAGATTTTTAACGGATAATAAACTTATCTTTTTGGGGTCTTTGGGGTCGCTTTAACATGAAAAAAAATATATATATATCATGAACACCATGACACTTCTGCCACCGTGCTCTACAGTTGTGCAGTTTTTCTGTGAAACTCCAGATTAGTGGACCTATTACAGCATCAACGAACGTGTAGCAGTTAGAAGAGTTCCTCTGCAGAGCGACTCGGAGGATAAAACTGCTGAGTCAGAGGTTCGCCCTGCAGCGTTTCCCGGGAGCGTCAACGTCTTCCCGTCACTCACTTGACTCCCTTTTTGGTGACGATCCTGGTGGAGGAGGCGTTGAAGACCTTCTCGAAGCGCTGCAGCTTGAACCAGTCCATCCTGCAGGGAGACACAAAAGAGTCACGAAGGGAAAACACACACACACACACACAAAAAGAAAAACCCTGCTGCTCAGTCTGTCGCATTACATAAGAGCCACTCACAAACATCAACACAATCCCACACTTCTGAATCGCATCAAAAATTAAGCTGTGTGACATTTTTTTCTTAAATTTGATTTTGGCATCAAATTCCTCCCCAGAGAAATGAGCCTAAACATCAAAACAAAAGAGCAAAATTAACGCAACATCTCTGCAATAAAAGGCAATTTCTTACAAAAGCAGCTCATAAATCACATTAAATATGAAGAACACTGATGTAAATGTTCAAAACACTGCAGCGCTTTTTTTTTCTCAGACAGCTAGAAATATCCCAAACAGGAACACAAAGGAGCCGAAGCTTCACACGAGGCGATGACAGAAAACAAAAACTTGTGAATTTACATTTTCAAGATGGCCGCCGCAGCCGACTGAGCTCAGCCGACACAAAAATGACCATAACTCTGTCAATTTTACAGCTAATGAGCTAAAATTCGGTGTAGTAGCCGAGAGTCATCCCCAGCACATACTATTGATTGCGCAAGATCGTAACTCTGATTGTTAGCAAAATATCTCATGAACCACACGTAAAATAAATGCACATCTTCGACTAACTTCTGGAGTTGCCCCATTCAAGATGGCTGCCACGGCTAATCAACAYTAGCGCACWCAAAGCACTAGTATAACTCAGTCATTTTTGCATATATTGAGCTAGAATTTGGCGTGGTAGTAGCTGAGAGTTGTGTTATAAAAGTAAGTTGAGTTTTAAGGAAGCGGTCCGACTGCTTTCTGTCTCCACACAAACAGAGCTGGTGGTAAAAAAAACCTCTAATTATTAAACACATTTATTRCGATGATGTTTTACCCCTGTAAGGGCGTACTTGTTTTTATGACTCGCATCAGTTGCATAACACAACAAGAGGGACGTTAAATTTTGCTGACAGAGGGCAAAAGAACGGAACCGGAGAGAAACTCACCAGATCGGACCCTGACTAACAGTTAAAGTTATTAATAAACTTGTTTTTCAGGGTGACGCCTTTTCAACTCATAGATAAAATAGAAAATATATATTTTTAACTACAAGTTTATTGTGGTTATTGTATGTTGATGGGATTTGCTGGAACTGTTTTTTTTTTTTCTTAAAGGCACTAAAACCTGCTGCGTTATTGAACTAAATTCCTCCTGATTGACGCACAGGTCAAACCCTTCTGCCCTGTAGACAAACTTGTTTTCCTTTGTTTTCTAGCTCTACAGCTGTCAAACCTGYTTCTGACATTAATTCTGTAACCGGAGCAGCTAGTAACTGTAAGAAACTAAARTCAGAGTATTTTATTTGTTTGTTGAGAAACAAAAGGAGAGAGTTGGAACTGTGAAGCCGTGTTTTGATCTTACTCATAATGGAAACCGATGTCGTGATTGCCGACCAGTACGACCAGTTCTGTGTCGGGGGAGTGTCTGAACATCCTGTGGAAGCGGCGCACGTCGTCCTCCCAGTGCTGCGGACAGGAGACGGGTTTCAGATCAGATGTCTTTGACCTCTGAGGGTCGACCARCAAACCAACGGTTAGAYGTTAACCCTCCTGCTGCCCTCRGGTCAAAACGACCCACGAGRCCTCAGTGTGACGATGTGCTGAGATAAAAATGTTACTTATATACAAATATCATTAATCACTGGATGAGTTTAACGTCAGCACGATTAAAGAAATCATTCTGGGCTTCATTTATCCACTTCAACAGTGCAGCTATTAGGTTTTAGCTAATGCTTTGCTACTTTTAGCTAGTGCTTTGCAACTATTACTGAGCATTTTGATACTTTTATATTTGATTTAGCATTTCGCTACTTTAAGCTAACATCTGATATTTTCAGCTTCTAGTATTCAGCTATTTTAGCTAATTTGGCACCTCTTTTAGCTTTTAAGTATCCGTTTATTATTTAACTGGCAAGTCCTTTAGGTTTTCAGCTGATGTATTTTCCAGTGGCGGCTGGTCCRTAGGGGGCGCTGGGGCGCCACCCTCCCTGACAAGAAGAAGAAGAAAAATGTAAAATATACCTTTATAAATCCAGTTATAAATGTTGGTTTTACTCACTAGTGTATGCCYACATGTAATATGAATTATATCAACTATATTCTCCACCTATTGACATTTATTCACCAGYAAATTTCCACAAACTGGTTTMGTTTCTGTCATGGGGCGATAGACAGAGAGCCCAAGGAGTGCAGTCTTTTAACCAATCACAAACAGTTGCTAGGCAGATTAAAAAAATTAATTGGCCAATCAGTGTTGCGAAATTTTATGGTCCTGGGACTCTGCAGATTTTGACCCAGCAGAAAAGTTTAGAAAAAAACAAATAGCTCATCATAGCGCCGCAGGTCGCTAGACGGAGTTTGGGGACCCTTTGGAGAAATGGTGGAGCTAAAAACAACTCAGCTAAGTGTCTTAAAACAAAATCTTTTCTGAAGTAGAAGGGCTKATCAGCCGGACATGAAAGAGACAAAGACAGAGGGAGAATTTACGCTTTTCCAAGACCTGGATTAAGCTAACTGCTTGTAGCATGGCTACTGCTTTGCTTTGACTGCCTCATTTTTCAAGCATCAAGATCTGTCCCAACATGCATTAAGACAGGTGAGTGAAAAGCTAAGACTTTTGTAATGGTTGTTAATCATATTTGTGCCATATTGATATATATTATTATACAATAGTGCAGTGTTTTTCAACCGTGGTCCTCAGGGCACACTGCCCTGCATGTTTTAGATGTTTCCCTGCTTCAACACAGCTGATTTAAACTGATAACTGATTAGCAGGCTTTTGTTGAACTGCAGTCATCTGAATCAGAAAGCTGATTTTGTAGTCATCTCCACATTGAATTAAATTTGTGCATTTATTTTTAAAGGTTTGTGACACCATCTTAAGCCATTCACAAAACCTGATCAGGGCTACACTGCTGCAGGCAGACAGATTCCTGCAGGACCACTGCCAGTTCTTTGAAGCAGCTGAAGCCCACCATAGAGGCTTACCCAATGCTGAACAGGACCACAAAGTCTCGTCTACAACCTGGATGATTTCAGGAGCTGCAGGGGTGCTGTGGCTCTGTACCAGCAACACTGAAGAGAATCCAGACTTTCCTCAGGTACATCACATCTCACTGCACTGACCATACTCTATAGAGAAGAATCTTGTTAAAACATCCCTGATTTAACCAGTCATGAAGACATTTCCTTTATAGTAAAAGAAGAGCAAACTTTATGTACAAAAAATAAACCACTACATGATATTGTAATACCATTTTTTGATGCTTTTAAATTATTTCAGTTTATTTAATAAATACACTGACGTGAAACAACTTAGTACGTGTGTGATTGCTTTTTGAGATATGTTTATTTTGGAGTTGTAGCCCCCTTTGGAGAAAAATCCACCGGCCGCCACTGGTCGTTTGTACTCTTTCCTATCACTTTGATACTTTTAGATTTTACTTAGCATGTTGCTACTATAAGCTAACATTTTGATATTTTCAACTTCCTGTGTCCTGGTGCTTCTTTTAGCTTCTAAGCATTTTGCTACTTTAGTAATTAGCATTTAGACCCTTTTAGTTTTTAAATTGTATTTTGTTATTTTTAACTCACATTTTAGTCTTTTACTTAGCATTTAGGTGTTTCAAGCTAACATTTCGATATTTTCAGTGACATTTTCTGCTTGTTAGCTATTTTGTGCCTTTTTTTTTAGATTTTACTTAGCATTTTGCTACTTTTAATTACCTCGCATTTTGATGTGTATAGATTTTACTTAGCATTTTGTTACTTTCAGCTAACATTTTGATATTTTCAACTTTTGCTATGTTAGCTATTTTGACACCTTTAAGCGATTAGCATTTTGCTACTTTTAGCTTTTGGATGTTGTTAGTTTTAGTTAGTTTTTTAATTATTTGGACTTTTAGCCGTTTCTACTATGATCCTTTTAAATGTGATTTAGCGTCTTGCTACTTTATGCTAACATTTAGATATTTTGAAGCTAGTGTTTGCTATTTTCTAAGCGATTTTTGTGATTTTTAAGTTAGCATTCTGCTAYTTTTAATCAATGTTTTGCTCTTTTAGTTGGTTCTCTGCTTGTTTTGATTTGCTTTTAGCAAATTTCACCAATTATTCGGCTTCACACACTAATTTATTATT